CTGTTCCTGAAGCCCCTCTGCAGCCATTGCTGGCTTATTCCACCCAGAGATCTTTTAAAACTATCCAACTTAGGGGCCAGCATTACCCCTCGGGGCAGTGAGTGTCAGGGTTTAAATACCCGCCGCCCGGAAAAGTCTTCCCTTTCATCCGTCTTGAGTCCTCCGCCGTCCAGCTTGCTTTGATTATGATGAAAACGCAAAGGACACGACGGGGTTCTGCGACACGCTTCCCCTGCACGAATGCTACAAAGCTATACGGGGATGGCAATTATGATCATTAAAATTAATTAATTACTTAACTAATGGAGGGCGGGCAGGCCGTACGTATTTAGCGAATGACTCGCTAAATAAATAAATAATAGCTGACGACGACGTGCTGTTTCCTTCTCCCGGATCCGGTTGATATCCGCGTGGCTCCGAAGATGGCCCTCTTTGGCTGGCGCTAGGAAAACGAGGAAGGAAAGAGCCAGCTCCTAGCACGGGCATAAATGCTGCTGGTGATTTACGGTGTTGTTTTTCGGTGTTACAAAATTTATGGACGCTAATTTGGTTGCATTTATTATCTGGAGCTCGTTGTGACTTCAGAGGAAATGATGATGAAGAAGGAGAAAGCTCTGGGAGCCAATCAATAAAGCTCCTCTGAGAGCAAAATGGAGGATCATGTTCCTAGTCCTCTGTGCTGTGAAGCCAGATGCTGAATGCCGGGCGAAGCTGGCGGAATCTTGGGAGGGCCCAGGGGACCCCAGGGGTGCCCAGGGCAGGGGGTCAGGTCCTCCCTCGTCCGGTTTATTGACCCCGGGGACAGATTGTGCAGAAGGAGAAGGGTGAGTGCGCAGACTGAACGGGGTGGCTAATGCTTGTTGGCTGGAATTTTGATCCCCCCCTCACTGGCCGCCTTCTCTTCTTCTTCTTCCCCGGGCTGGGGAAAGGGAGGCGTCCTTCTCCCACCCCGGCAATGGCTCTCGCTCAGCTTCCGAGGTCAAACTCCCCCCTTCCCCTCTTCCTTTGCGGAATGCCTCGCTTATCTCGAGCCCCCCCCCCCCGCTGCCGCAGGGACCTCGGATGCCAGGAGTAGATGCAGCAGGCACCCAGCCCACTGCCCCTGAAGTGGGCCCTGCGGCAGGTGGCATGAGGGGAGATGGGGAGGGTCCCAGGGAGGGAAGGCCCTCCCCCAAATAAGGCTTTGGAAGGGTTTGGAAACGGCAGGAGGGAAGACGAGCTCGCCTGTCTCGATTCCCTTTGGAGTCTGTTTTGCAGAGGAGGTTGTCTCATCCCCCCCCCCGCCTAAGTGGTTAAAGGGGGTGTCTTTTCTGGGTTGCGTCATCCTGGTCGGAGCTGCCAGTCTTCGGATGACCACCGGGGGCAGCCGACACTCTTCCCCTTTGCTGCCCTCTGGTGGTTGTCTGGATTGTTGCAGCCCCCACCCGGTGGCCCTGAAGTCATCGCTCAGCGGGGGAAAAGCAGCAGCGTTTGATGTGGTGAGGGTGCATCATATTCCGAGCGTGCGAGTTCAGCGCAGGACCATCTGTCTTCCTCTGCAACCGGCTTCTTTAATTGGCATGCAGCCTCACGCTAGATGTTCCATGCCACGATTTCTCAAGAGTGCATAAAAACGGAGTGGGGGGCTCCTTTCCTTCCCCTCCTCCCCTCCCTCAAAAGCATAAAAGCTACTAGTCCTTATGCCTCCGAAGTTATGCTGGAAAACGCACGAGCTGGACTAGCTGCGGGTAGCAGACGGGCTGAAGGAGAGCCCGGGGCCTTGGGGCAGAAGCTCCTGTGCCCCCTTCGGGCTATCTGCCCCCTACCCCAATTGCAGACGGCCGTACCTTCGGTCAGATGCCCACCCAACAACCGCCGGACCGTCGGCTTGTCCGCCAACGCCTTCTGAGGGTCACAGCAAGCGGAGCAGGGCCTCTTCCGTCTCCCGCAGCCGGGTCCGAAAAGTTGCGGGGCTTTTGTTCTGTTGGCTGAGAGAGAGGGAGGGAGGGAGGGAGAAATGCGTGGCTTTGCAGTTTGGCATTTGTGGCACACATTAATTGCCTTTTCAAATATTTGTTCTCAGGGAATTGACCAAGGACGCAGTGGGTTTCACTAGGGGAGGTCAAAAAAGTCAATAGCTTGGCCACAGCCCTAGAATCGAAGTCCCCCCCCACTTTTTTTTTTACTGTGTATAAAAGAGGGGTGGATTTTTGATCATGTGGTCATGGCTGCCATCTTGACTTCTTTGACCCTCCCCCCCTACTCCTGCGGATGCCCCTAAGTGGAGCTCATTTCAGGGAGGGGGTTCATGCTTGGAATGTGAAGGTCCCGGGTGAATTTCTGATATTTGCAAGTGAGGCTGGTGAGGGCATCGTGGGGGGGGGGTCAGAAAAGTCAAGATGGCGGCCACACACCATGCAAGGGAAGTAAAAAAGAGGCATAGTTCAGTGGATGCCAATTGTCTGAAAAAAGAAGGAAACAGAAATTGGAAAACCACCTCTTTCCTTTCCAGACTACCCTTCTCCTGCCCGTCCTTGAGTTCCTTCAGGTTCTCAGAACACCCCTGCAAGGTAGGGCAAGTGGGGAGGGAAGGGTCAAATGTCATTCTGGGGGATTTCAAGGCCCTACCTTTTTTCGTGGGGGGGGAGAGAGCGCTTTGCTCCTCGGAGGCAGCCCCTGGGAACTCCTGTGTCTTAGGAGGCACTGCTGGGGCACGTGGGCACACGCATGTGCAAATTTGGAGGACCGTCTCTCTAGAGGCAAGCGGGGCACTGGCATTGTCCTCTTGTCCGTCTGTGACACAGGCTTCTCTTTTCTTTCTTCTTTTGCTTTTTGGTTGAACAAGACCCTTTCAAGCCGGAAGGGGAATTGGAGACTCCTAAGTAATTTTGCTTCAAAAGGACCCTGGAGTTTAAAGGCAGGGTGTAATTATTTCTCCCCTTATCGCTCTGCTTTTTTCTCTCTCACGCTCTTCCCACTCGCCGTCACACACAGAGACGCGCACATGCGCAACCCCACACGGGCAGGAAAAACCAGGGCAGGCCAAGGCAGGCGGGGCAGTGCCCGACTGCTGGGAGAGGCCTTGCTTTCCAGGCAGAGGGTGGGCAGGCGGGAGCCGCCTGGGCACCTGAAGCTGGCGCTAGAGGAGGAACCGAGGACCCACGCCCGGGCTGCTCTGAAATGCTCTTTCTGGCCCTGTTGCGGGCCAGCGTTGCTGGCCGTTGAATAAATAAATATTTAAATCTAGTTTCCCACCACAATTCCCCTGGGGAATTGATTTACGGTGGAGAAACCAGCAAACGAGACACAACTCTGCTGCCAACAATTGTTGAGTCTCTAGGCCAGTGTTTCTCAACCTTGGCAACTGGAAGATGGGTGGACTTCAACTCCCAGAATTCCCCAGCCAGCATGGCTGGCTGGGGAATTCT